AAGATTGACAAGAATTAGGGTGTGGATATGGGTATGATTCGGGCCTCGTCTTTTCCGACAGCAATATCCACACCCATCCATATATGTACATCAAACATTAGTATAACAACAAAGAACGCTCGTATTTATAAATAGCAGATATGTCTCCTTATATATACATAAGTATTAAGAAGTATTCCGCTTAGAAAGGAATTTCTAAATCTCTTTTTCATAGTATTACCCTCCAATAGCAATTACAATTGCCATTTTATATCATACAATCTATTGTTTAACTAATTCGTGTAAAAATTTTTAAATACATTTTATTCAATAGCAATTCATTTCGTCGATATTTTTCGCATTGTATATCATCAAAAGAAGTATTTCTAGTACGTAAAAAAAAAACAATTTAAAAATTAGAGATCTTTTTTTCTAATAATCACATATTGAATTCTCTACATATAGTGTAAAGAGTTTTATAACATCACGTGTTCTGCAGTTTTTGCAATGTTTCTAAAGAAAAAAAAAAAGGTAATTTCAGTCGACAATGTAGAGTAAAGGGATAAATGGTAGAAACCTGGCAAAGGTATCAATGTATAGGCAAAAATTAGTTCTACAAGTTAACAGAGAAGAATTTTTCGATTCTCTCTTTTATTTATTTATTTAAAACTAATTGCTTTCGAGCTATACCCGCTGATTTTTTTCGTATTTAATGAGAAGAACTTTCAAAAAAATAAATAAATGTATGAAAAAACAGATCTCTGTTAAGTTGTAGCACTATGTCTTCACTACATTTGAAAACTAATTTGAACTGTCTCTTATTTGAAATATTGAAGAAATTACAAGCGTACAAATACCTATATTTTGACCTAAAATCTTAAGATAACTTATCATAGACCCATTGTATCTAGTTAAATCTTTTTACTGCGCAATATCTAACTCAATATACACATCTAAATAATATCATTATGCTTGGATGGCGAGAAAGGCGAAGTTTTCTTTTGAGGGGCATACCCATAAGTATCTACTCGACAGGAATATTTATTATATTGTTGAGTCATGAATATGAGTCAAATATGATGATATTAAAATAAAAAACAGAGAAGGAAAAAGAAGCATAAATAAGAAGAATCATTGTATTTTAGGTTTTCTCCAACATATTAACGTTGTCATAAAACACATAAAGGTATGAAACACACCTATTTAAGTGTCCATTACTTCCGTTCCAGCTCATTTCGATGTTTTTTTCTTTCTTTTATAAAGCTATACTCAGTATATTTTGATTATTGATCGACGTTACGATGATAAGAAAAGCTACTCGACTGTTATCAACAAGATCAGTTGTTGAGAAATTATTTAATGTTGTACAATCATCATCATATGATGAAAGGCAAACGCAACTAGATCATTTTATTGATACCTATGCACAAGTAAGAAAAGCAATTTATCCCAATCTTGTTAATGATGTTATACAACGTTGGGCTACTGAACAACCAAAACGAGAAGCATTATGGATGTGCGAAAATAAAAATAATGAAAGTCAAAAATTAACATTTGATGATGTATATAAACAATCATGTCGTTTGGCTAATGTACTTACTAATAAAGACTTTGATTTAACACCAGGTCAAACTGTATGTTATTAAATTCACATTTATCTATATCTAAAAAAAGTATTTTTTTTTAAATAGGTACTTGCTATTTTACCTAATACTGCTAAAGAACGAATTTTATTATTATTAGCATGTATTCAAACTGGTTTAATCTTTTGTCCATATGATCCAAAAGATTTAACTAATCAAGGAATTTCTCAAAGAATTCAAAAATTAGTTGTTGATTGTGTCATTACTGATGAAGATAATTTAGAAATAGTTAGATGCTATACCGGTACCCCATTACGGCCATTAAAAAAAGGTTTTTTTATGCCGTGCTCAAAATCTAAATTGTCACCAGTTAGTTGGACTCATTTAACGCAACATGTTAATAATGCTGAAAGTAGATATACAAAATTTGTGAATATTAATCAGAATACACCTGTTATACGTTTATTATCAAATAACAATAATGTTATTGAATATTCTCAAGAAGCTTTAAATTTTCGTTTAATATTAACAGCGTAAGATATTTCTTTTTTTTCTTTTTTAAATATATAATATTTTATTAAATTAAAAATTAATATTTAGTCTTTGGTTAAATAGCAATAAAACACCTCGTTTAATATGGATGAAAAATCAAAATGAAATAATGTCAATGGCTTCTTGGTTATTTGGTTCATCCATATTTTATAAAGATATTGAAAATTTAAAAACAATGATTCAAACATTTGAAAATTATCCTATTGATGCTTTTTGTTCAACATTAGCTAATTATCAAATGCTTGATAATGAATATGAACAACAACGAGAGATAAAAACTAATCTTCAACAATTATTTTCTTCTGAACCAATTAATTCTAAAATTAAATCTCGTTGGCATTCATTGACAAATCTTAATATTCGTGATGGTAGATTTATTAATAAATTTTTTTTTTTTTTTTTGTAAAAATTTTTATTTTATTTAAATTTAGATTATGCTGATTTTTATAATAAACCCATGTTAAACAATTTTTCAACTAATATGCTACAATCATCATATCCTGTTAATAAAATGTAAATGACTTTGTTGATGTTTTTTGTCTTTGACGATTCTATAATCATATATTCTTCTATTTTATTTAGATCATATCTGTTAATAAATTCCTCATTGAACCCAAATACATTAAACAAATTTGTTAATTAAATATCAAATAAGTCAGCATCGGATCTAAAGACAATCTAATAAATTTGTTTATAATCAACAGTCAAATGAAAATGATCTCGAGCTCAATTTTTATTTTTTTATTTTTTGCATGACATACAAATTATTGTTTATTCTTGTATTTTGAATTTTTTTTCAATAAAAATGCTTTCGGCATTTTCTAATAAATTCAAAGAACACATTTAATTGATGTTGATAAAAATTTTATTTTACTCACAGGTGTATTATTATTTAAAATTTCTTTACAACGACGTATTGCAGCTTTATGAAGCCATTCATGTAGATATTTATTTTCAATTAGATCACTAATTGATTGTCGTTCACTAATTAAATATTTATAAATATATAGAGAGTTACGATACATGCAAACATACCCTGTAATTCGTCCATGAATCATATCTGATATTGATTTATTTTTATTACATGTCCTGTAACATGGATTCATATTTATTTGATGATTACTCATTGTTTTCCTGACATAGAAATAAATTATTTTTGATGCATATGCAATGACTCTCATAATTAATCATAAACATTTTATTTCGATTTTTTCCCCGATGATATAATTTGCGCTAGAGTGCTGCAGGGTAAAACTTTTTTTCACCTTATACTTTATCCTACAGCGATTGGCCCAACATACACTAAAATGTCTAGATTTTGATATATGTCAACATGAAATTTTCTTCATTATGTTTCAGTATATTTTATTGATTTCTAATGATAATTAAATATAAAATCATCACATATTTCAAAAAGTCTTATAAAAATAAAATGTCATTCACAATATCGTCGTTCACATCTGTTTTCTCTTTTTCATAACTTTTTCACTTGCACTGAAGATATGTTCACTTACGACTGAGTTTGCCAGAACTCACAATAGCCTTTTTCCAATACATTACGTTGTGGGTAGTTCAAATAAACCAGAAAGATGTCAGGAGTGTTTGTCATCATTCTACCCTATGCTAAACTTTACTTAATCGAACTCTACTCTGAAAAACTTGAACTTGCATAAAATATTCTAAGTGTGATTTAAATAGACAATATTGTTTCCAAAAAGGATTTGATGAAAATAAACTCTTCATCGTATTCTTAAATCTAAGATCTTTAGAAAACCCTTCATCCAGTTTTTCAGAACATTGAAATTCAAATATAAAACTTCTATTGATGACACAGAACGACAGAGCAACTAATTCTCTAGAAAAGGATACGGCTTAAAGAAGTTGTCTGTTTTTATACAATGATGAAAGAAACGATGCTCTATTTTTCTATGCTATTTGATCAATTTTCAACTAATATCATAATCATAGAATTTCAATAAGAACTGTTTTTGTATAAAACTTGAACCTGTTTAAAAAAAAATAATGACCGTAGGAATTTTTACAATAACTCAAGAACGGGAAGAGTTAGAGAGCTGCAATTTTCATCATTCGAAAAAAAAAGAGAGGAGTATGCATCGAATCACATCTTATATATCGAACGAGGAAAACCACAGCTCTCTAGCTCTTTTCACTCTTGATTTATTGTAAAAATACCCACGGTCTTTATTTTTTTTTGAAACAGACTCAAAACAGTTCTTATCGAAATTCTATCGTTATGATATTAGTTGAAAATTGATCAAATAGCATAGAAAAATAGAGCATCGTTTCTTTCATCATTGTATAAAAACAGACAACTTCTTTAAGATGACTATTCGAAAATAAGGTATCTTCAACAGAACTTTTGAATTGACCTAAGTAGTTTTTTTCACCATTTTCTAAGAGAAGCCTAGAATTTTCTTAAAACTTAGGTAACTCAATCAAAAAATGTCATGAAGAGCTCGAAGACGTCTCATTTTATAGAGAATTAATTGCTCTATTGCTCTATGTAACCAAAAAAAAATAAATTATTATTTCCAGATTCTTCATACGGAAAAGCTAGATTTTAGGAGTAATGTAAAGCTTTTTTTTCCTCCTACAATTTCTTCTATTCAACTCACTATTTGGATTCTTTTTTGTGAGTTCTTATTATGGAAAAAATCGAAATCAAATCTGTACGATGAATTCTTACAGTCATTGTAAAAAGAAAACTAATCTACCGATATTGATGTATATCCTGTACTTTAGTAAGACCTAATCGGACAGTGGTTTTGTTTATTTCAATAAAATTAGGAACGATAATTTGTTTTGATGTGTTTATCGGTATGTCATTGTATTGTAGAGCTAATAGAAAAATCAATTAGAAATCAATCAAGAATCGATCGAATATTTGCCTGCAGCTACACCAGTAATACCATTCTGTTTTGGATGTTTGAGACCATAAACAAAATTGTCAGGAGGCAAATAAAAACCTCGTTTACGTATTTTGCATATATCGTTATCATCCTTTGAAATTTTTCAATTAAGAAATAAAATTGAAGATAAATACTGACCCAAATAGGATTTTCATTGTTGAGCAATGCTTGACAGAATGCTCGTTCATTTGATGTTGGCTTTGTATGTTGACGACAAAATATAGCCATAATAAAGAATTATCGAGCAATTTCTACTTGGCGCTCTATTTCTCGTGACTCAATTCATAACATTCAAACATTTGAAATTTAATAACTGAAAAAAACCAAAAAAAAAACCTAGAGTACTTGTTTACATCCTTAGATAGTTGTAAATATTTAATATTTCGACTATTTTATCTCTTCTTTTTATCGACATAATTTTATAAAAATTAATATTAACAAAAAATGAGTAAAATTTTTTGCCAACTCTCATATATGTCACGCGCGTATTTTGTATTTCACATTTACTTATACTTATTACTATACATTATTAGCAACAAAATATAACTTGATTACCATTCAATGCTTTCAATTTAATGATCAATAGTTAGTTATTAAGTTTAATTTAGAACTTAAACCTAATATAATAAGTAAATATTAATATCACTTGTAATGAAAACAATTTAATGTTCAACTCTTAGCAAACTATTGACATGATATTCATTGAAGGACAATAAATAAACAGATATTATTAGAATAGTATTAATAATAAAATATTTAACCATGGAAAAAGTTCTCTTTAATAAATGTAATGCTTATAAATCTCTTCCAAATGTTTTATATTCATCAAAATCAAATCAAATCATACAAATACATAGAAGTAAAAGTTTACCATCATGTTTAAAATTTCTATATGAAAAATATCAATATAATAAAAAATTATCAATATTAAAACGAATAAATATTAAAAAAAATTCAATTGAAAGAAATAATTATCATCCAACTATTGGTGAATTACTTGGTGATGATGATTTATTTCATTACCATTATCATAAACAATATAATACATCAAGATTTAAACGACAACGACATCATTATCGATCATATTACCGTTCGTCTCATATTCATCATCATTATCGAAAACATCATCATAAAATAAAAGAATTTCAATATCAATCATCACGATTATCATGTTCATGTAATAAATCAACATCAGAGATAAAAAATCAAATTTATCTTTATCCAACAACAACATATAATTATACACCAATACCTACTTATTGTTATTATTATTATTATTCAAATATGTCTTCTTATTATCCATATTTCATATCGGATTGTTACAAAATTTTCTATCAACAAGAACGATATTATGAAAATATTAATATTTAAATATGATGATCAATGAAATAAAAGAAAATAATTATTCGAATTATTATTATTTTCATAAGACAAAAAAAAAAAAAAAAAATCAAAATCATACTTCTATTTAACATAGTAATAAACTGATATAAATAATTTATGATTGAAGAATTTATTTTATATTCGATTTATTCTCTTAAAAAGAGAGTTTTCTTTTTTGTTTTTTTTAATGTTATAAACGATTTTTTTGTTGTTCACTTTCAAGCATAATTAAACAACATAAATGAGGAATAAAATTTGCATAATAACAAAATGGTTTTTGTTGTATATCAATTGGTATTTGTGATGATTTCAATAATTTATATATTGTTAAAAAAGCTGTTATACCAATTTGTTCTTCAACATATTGACGAATATGATCAATTTTTGCTCGACGATCAGATTGATTTCTACGAGCAGCATCAAATAATAATTGTAAAGGTGCAAGAGATTCTGTTGATAGAGTTATTCTATTGATTGATTCTAATAAACTTATAGTATCATCATAAGAATTTCGTTGTTTTGTTAAAGGAAAACTTAAATAAAGAGAATAAAAGCAAAAAAAAAAAAAAAAAGGTTTTTTTTTCTTCAAATCTTCTAATTACACTTACTGATGATACGTATATTCATTATTATTTATTAAATCTTTTGATCTTATTTTCTCTTTACTACAGTTTTCTTCAATTGTTGGTATATAAATTCCTCCGTGTTGTTGATACTTTCGCATGAATTCATCAAGTTGCATGTCTTTTTCTCGATATTTGTTAGAATGTATTGACGTTGTTTGAGATTGTCCCGTAGAACGCTTTGCTTTTCTTTCATCGTCATTATCACTTGAAGATGATGCTGATGAAGAGATTGTATCATTGTTGACAAACGATCTATAATAATTTTTCTTTGATTTATTTCTAATACGTTGTTGTTCATGATCGGATGTGTGTGGTGATGATAATATTGCATCATCAGGTGGAATATTTCCTATCAATTGACTATCAATTTTATATTGACATAAATTTTCATTTGATTTCATAGTCGATTTCGTTAAGAATGTTTCAATAGAAGATAACTGTGAATTATCCATAACGGATTGATTATTGTTAAGCATACATATGTTATCATTTGTATTAGTTATGCTCTGATCAATGTTATTTTTATCTATTTCATCCGTTGATGATAGAATAACATTTGAATAATAGTTATTTTCGAAATTATTTGATGAATCAAGAAATTTTGGTGATGGTGATTTTTTTAATATACTCTTTGGTTGTGTTTGAACGAATAGATGATGATATGTATCATTAGTTGATGACATAAGCTTAATTCTTAAGAATAAGATAACTAACCTTGCATAGATATAAGCGAACAATGAATGATACAACTGTCGTTGCTTTTTTTTTCTCCCCTTCTCTCTATATCTTTCTTCCTTTCTCATCTATACTGAGAAAAAAAAGAAAGATAATCAATTATCTTATATATACATCAGAACAAACAAATCTTGTATATTTCCTTTCTTTCGCTTTTAACCTTGTAAAGATTTTCTACTGATTTCCTTTCTTTTTGTTGCTATTAATTTATTAAAATAGGAGGTTCATTCATATTATATAATTTAAAATGCCATGTATTTTCTGTCCATTCTGATGGATTAATTAATGGATTACTAAGAGTTTTTTCAATAAAAAGACCAGTTTGATTACGACGAATAAGAATTACTGTCGATGTTCTACGAATAAATAAGAGATAAAAGGAGAAAAAAAAAATAGATTTTTTTAAACCTTGTTCCATAAGTTGGCGAGTCATCTGTAGTGCGTACATTAATTGATGATATTTGATGACGATTCGATATTGAATAATGAGAATAAATAGTAGCAATATTAGGATCATCAGGAAAACTGAATATCATAAAAAAAAAAAAAGAGAAAATCATTTTCTTATTACAAACCAACGAAATGTATCATAACTCGAGAACATAGGAAATATTTGTCTCAAATTAAAAGCGTTACTAGTAAATTAACAAATCTAAAATATGAGCTGCTTCTGACGTATACGGATGAAGATATTCAAATTTTGAGGTATTTGCATTATGTGTTATGTATCAATAATTCAAAATTTTGATAGGATTTATTTTTTGAATTTTATCATAGTTGGCAAGAACTCGTAGAATGATATAAGAAAAATATGTTAAGAAAAAAACAAGTCTATGATACTATTTTTTAAATATAAGCAGAAATAGATTCAAAATTCTGACTTTGGGAAAAAAAATTTCTTTTTCTTATGTACCTCGAAGAACTCTATTCAACTATTGTCAAAAGAAGAGTTGCTGAAATTTTGAATTGTTGGCATATAACGTTCACTATAAACACCTTAACAATTTGGATATTCTAAGCAGTTCATATTTTAACTTTCTTCGTTAGATGATGAGACTATTTAATTTAATCTAAACAATATAGATCATTTTATAGTTAATGAAAAACCTACATTTTATTATCATTTAATAAATCAAATGTTTGATGAATTAATGCTTTTTCATCTGTAATTGGTTTTGTATAATTATCTGTTAAATTTGCAAGAAATGTTTTAAATAATTGACAACCATAACGAGTCTTTTCAAATGCATATTGATCACCATATATATGATTGCTAAAACCGAAAAGAGCTAATATGAAAAAAAAATAAATAAATAAACAAATTATTTGATTTAATTAAGAAGACATATAAGATCGACTTACATGTATTGATTTCAATTGCTGATGAATCTGGTGATATATTATTTATATATTTAGCTCGCCATTTTCTATTAATGTAAAATAAACCATATGGTGAAGGGGAAATAGGAAAACTCAATATTGACGTTTCTGTTATTTTGCCTCTTAAAAGAAACTGCAGAAACTTGAAAACATTGAGTTGCATTGTTTTCGAATACGAGGTTCAACATTTCTCTAGGACTTCTGCTTTAGAATTTATGAATCGACCTTTTAGAAAAACGAAAATGAAATTCGGATGAAAAAAAAATCGACGTTGTCTGAAGTAATAAACTCCTTTACTGCATACGTAATATTACTGATTTTTTTCGCATAGAATAAAAGACGATATTGTTTTCTACATAGGGATATAAGAATCGAGCGTTTCAGTTCAATGACTCAGCCATGACCAAGCTCATTTTTCAAGTCTATGTTTTCATAGACATGTAGAAAATTAACGCGATATATGTTATCAAAATCCTGACTGCTGACAAATACCTTTCATCAGATTGATCATTAATGAACTACTTTATAGAGAAAAATTTGCCTCAATATACAGATATTGAAAAAATCGGCTCATAATTCTCAAACTAAAGATCGTACAACAATTTTGAAGCTATACTTCGAAAGAATAGAGACTTCTAATTCTAATCCGATATTTTAAAATTTCTGCACGTTCTTTTAAAGAGGCTAAAGAATAAGCTAATATTTTATTAAATAACTTTTCAATAATTTATTTATAATTGTTTCAAATTAATTTTACTTGAAATTCAAAAGAAAAGAAGTTCATTTCGACTCACTTAGACTCTGATTGTTGTTCGAGTCCAAGAAAATTAAAACCTGTATAATTTGTTTTAGTTTTTTGTAATTCATCCATATATGTATCAAGATTAATCTCTGGATTATTTACATAATTTGATACAATAAAACCTCGACTCTGAGCATTGATATTTTTTTCTTCTAATAAATGTGAAGATAAATTTAATAAAATACCAATTCTACTTTGAACAGTATTTAAACATAACCAAGTACCACCTTCACGTAATGGTGTTACATCTTGTCCTTTAGAGAAATAATAAATAATATTATTTTACTCTTTTTTGTTTTTTTTTTTTTTGTCGAATTCTAAAACAAAAACTATCAAAATCGAACCTCCAAGTGCATATTTTGTATCTTTCCAAACATGAGCTTGTTTAGCTGGTCGTTGAAAATCTTCATCACGATTTGATAATAATATTAAATCATATCCGATATCAATATTATCGTTTTGTAAATAACAGAAAAGAATACACATGATCTCAAAATACACACAAAGTTTTATAAGAAACGAAGATAACTGTTAAGTCGATAAATTCTCAGTGTGTGTATCTTTTGAAACACACACACATGAAGAATAAAAAGAAAAAAATATCTTCACTTGTACAAAGAAGACAAAAAAAAAACGAACTGTACACATGAGAAACAGTGTTATCAACTTGTTTGAAAAAAAAAATGAAAGACGACTAATCATCCTTAATATAAATAGTTGAACAAATGACAAAGATAAAGATAGAAGAAAAAAAAAAGATGAATATGTTTATACAGATCGTTTGTTTGTTTTGTATTTTATCATGAATGATTTCTAGTTGATGATGTTCCACTATAATCAATTCCACGACATGTCGATGAAAATGTATTTATATGATCTTTAAAATTTGCACGACTCGTACGTTCACTAAAACGAAAAACAACAAACAGAAACATTTTCATTTTCAAATAAAAATTCAATATAGAAAAGATATATGTACGATGTTAATGCTTTGATTAATGCTTCACGATGATGACGTTTTGGAGATGGTGTAGGAAAATTTGGATCATTTAAACATTGTTGAACCCAATTTGATGTACAATCAATGTATAATTTCGATAGTGTAAATAATGGTAATGATAATGTATCAACTAAATGACGTGGACTTGCTCCACCAATACACTAAAATTTAAATATGTTTGTTTTTTTTTTTTTATATTTATTTATATAATAAAAGATATAAAATCAAATTGTACTGATTTCGTTTTTAATGAGGAAAAAATTCTTTCGAAAAATTTCAGTATCATCGCTTTATTTATTGACCTTTTTTTGTAGTATACTACTTTTCCTTCTACTGTCTACGTGTTAATGTGTTACGCGTTGCTGTTTATAATAACTAAGTATTTTGTATATAGACAGTTGACCTTATCAACAAGTTTTTCTATAAATAATATTATTATTTTGAATGTCCGGATAATTCGTAGCAGGTATATGAATGAGAATCTTTGGTATACTCTCATCTATATAGTGATACTCTTATTTACATATAAAGGTTTTTTTTTGTTTTTTAGTATTCATCAAAAAATTCTTTCTGATTTTTTGATAAACATATAGAAATTTTTTAATCACATTATAATAAGAACTTATTCTTTTGTTCTTAGATGTTATATGATTCATAAGAACTAAGTTTTTTCGATTAATTTTCAATACTACAGATTGACGAATAACAAAATTTTCTGTATTAACCTTCATATTACTACCTTGGATCTATGCGGAGATACATAACATGAGATCAAATGTTGTCCTTTTAGATGTATTTACCCTGCATGGTTGAGAATGAAAAATAATATGAGGAAAAAAAAAATGATTGAATATGTAGACAATTCAAATCGATTGCTTTTCTATTTATTTTTTGCACAATCAAGATTACTGCATAGTGTTTACAACTGAATAATAATTGTTTACTGTTACTATTTTAATATATTCGAATTCGTATAGATCTGAGATGAGAATTTGATTTCTATTCTATAAGTAATGATATGAAGGTTCATAAAATATTCTTTGATCTAGATTTTAATTGTTTTACCACTGTAATCGAATAATGTCAAGGTAAATATGTTAAGATTCTTAATTATATAAATAATAATGAAATTTTGAAAATCTAACCTTAAGAAGAATCTGAACTATTTCGAGACCATTTTGTTTTAGAAGATCAGCAGCTCGTTGATTTGATTTTGTATATTCAATATAATTAGACTTTAAAAACAGAAAGATTAATAATATTTAAAATTTTTCTCATTTATCTATTTACTGTAAACATTGTAACACTTCTTAATGTTGCTTGTTCATGTAATTGAAGACCATTTTTTACTTTAAATATATATATATAATTAATTTTTATTAAATATTAAACAACATACCAAATTGAAAAAGTAAAACAAATGCTTCATTAGGACAATGATGTACAACAGTTGGTAATTTTTTAATAATCTAAATGATAATAAACTATAAAAAATCAAAATTAAAAATAGTTTATTTTACTTGAATAAGAAAATTAGAAAAATCTTCTACAATATCAACATGATCTTTTAACCATTGTATATCTAAAATTAATATTCAAAGAAAGAACAAAACATAAATAAAAAAAAACAAATTCAAACCTCCTTTAAAAAGACAACCAAATCTTTGAAGAACAGCAATAAATAAATTAAACATTTGTTTATCTGTATCTTGTGAAAAAAGTAGAAGTGTCTAAAAATTAAAATATTCATAGCATTATTATTTTTT